TTTCAGTAAAAGGTGTTCGTGAGCTCATCAAACCATCTGCCAGCCGACGAGTTTTAGAGTACTTACAATCCAGCAAGTTTTCATCATGTCAAGTTCCAGCCACCGAAGAAGAACAATTCATCTCGCTAAATATTCTGGAGCATCTACCAAGGCTATGGCAGCAATAGGGCTATACTCATATGCACTTTGGTGTAGTAAGAATTGGTTTAACCTTACATGCACGAAAAGGCTTACCGGTTGTAGCACGGATAGCTTTGCTTGACTCAAGGCTCAAATCCTATCAACAAGCTTGCATCGGAACAGTACAAACAACGTTGAACGCAAGAACAGTATTTATAACACTGTTTCCAAACTTCAATGTTTCTCTACAAGATCCAAATCTCCTAAAGGCGCTTAAAGTTCAATTACAACTAATCGGAGCACCTATGCAAGAAGAAAGTGTGGCAGCAACTCTACATCATCAGATTGTATACAGAATTCAAGATCATGCTCTTGATCTTGCATTACCAGCATCAGACGAGGCTTTATATCTTGAAGTCACATCGGCATCACAAGCACCCAACTCTATTCAAATCCCAAGACAGATATCTCGAGAAGAATTGCTGCGAAAACTGCCGGAGTCATGGGTAACAAGCTATGAAAAGATACATCAAGCATCTCAAGCACCGATCCAGTCATCTGAAGTAAGCTTTCACTCTAGAAGCGATATAACCACGGAGATAAAGTTCGAAAAGCCAAGATCATCTTTTCAAAAGAAACTCTTTACTCAATTCACTATCCATATCAGAGATTCAAAAGCGGAGGGTCGTGTTGACTAAGTCTAGACGACGAGTCGTATTGACAAGCTAGGGTTCATATTCCAGGTAAAGAGAGCGGTTCGGGCCTCATTGCTATCTGTGTTGCTCAACCTACTATTAGGAACTTTGAACCCCGGCGAGTACTATTGACTGTCGTGTTCGACTGTCGTATTTACGGACCACTTATGCTAACCTTAAGAAAAGATACAGAATCGCGACTGTGTTTAGAATAGAAAGAAACAAGGTTTATGAAGAAGTTAGGAAGTCTGAAAAACTTTAGAGAGAAGTTAGAGTGACATTAGAGAGAGAGAGAGCTATTATGAAATTTTTGATATTTCAAGTTGTGTCTTCGTACAAGGGGTGCACACATATTTATAGGAGGATTTAAGGCGCTGACATAAGCGCTTACCTCAGCGATTACATCATCGCTTACATAATCATTACATCTGTAATTACATCATCGCTTACATCATTGCTTACCTCAGCGATTACATCATTGCTTACATAATCATTACATGATTTTAAACACCTCATACATATTATATTTTTTTATTTATTTTATATTTTTCATACCTTTTAATGATCCATTTCGAATTCTAGCATATGTTCTTCGCAGCATCCATAATGATCATCTGGACATTCATACGAGTCCTCAATCATTCGTGCATCTTCTCTTGGTTGAACATTTATGCAGAATTTGAACTTTTCTTCGATATCTTCAACATTTATTTCAGCATCTGGAGATTGAGCGTCCTTAAAGTGATCAGCACAGTAATCTTGAGAAGTCGCCTGGGAAGTTGTTTCTTCTTATTTATCTTCTTTTGAACTGTTTGGTCTTCCTCTGTCAAACTTCATCATGTAATACTGTAAATCTTCATCAAGTTGCATCTGATAATCGACCGGGTAGTGAACCCAGTTGGGAATGAACGGAATAGGAAACGTATGTCTTGCATTGTTGAGGTAAAACGCATGAGTTTGGAAGTTTTCGTATGCTTCGTTATCTTGAAGGTTGAAAACTGGACGAACTCCTCTTGAAAAATCACCGTGATGAATGAGAGTTGGAAGAGCAAAAATTTTGCTTGTTTTGCGGTTGACCTTAACGGGACGATGAAAGAAGTAGATTGAATGTGGATTGAAGAACGGGTTGAGTCCACCTCTTTTCAGCTTCTTGAATGTTAGATTCGTTGCTTTTGCAGATTTTTGTAGTTTTCCACTCCAGACAGTCAATGGTGAAAACCACCTTAGGAATGTTGAGAAACAGTCTCTTTTGTCTTGAATTGTGTTGACGTAATGGTATAGCCACTGGATGTCGAAAGCAATTCCTACAGTGTAGACAGCACAGAGATACCAAAGGAAACAGAGGACTTCTTCTGGCATGTTTGAATTCTCGATCCTGTAGAAATGTGCAAACGGATGGTCATGATGAATTCCTATTGGAGCAATGTGGTGACAGTTTACTCCATAGTTAGACAAGATTGTAGATTGGTATGAAAAGATCTTTGTGTGCAATAGTTCATGAAGCTTGTTTCTGCTGATGAGTTGATGAACATCTTCGGGTACGTCGGCTTCAAAGTTATAGTAGCTCGTTTTGGATTCGGAGGAATTGGCCATCATGTGTATCTCGTAGGGCGTTTCTTGTTTTACTGGGTTTCAGCTAAGCATGTCTGCTAAAGTGTTCTTGGTGCCCTTTAAATAGACTGACTCGAAATCGTACTTTGAGAACCATTCACCCATCTTAGTAGCTGTTGATGCGGGACCATCTTCTGCTTAAACTGTAACATCTTGGGAAATGAAGACATATCCATTTCTATACGAAACCTGTGTCCTATTAGATGAAATTCAAACCTCTCGATAGCCCTATTGACCGCTAAAATCTCCTTGAACGTTGAGTGATAATGTTGCTCTGAATCTTTGAAACGACCACTCTTGTATCCATAGATTTGTCTTTTCCCTTCCATCTCTTCAAACAGTATTGCTCCCCAATACTTATCACTAGCGTCTGTCTGTAGAATACGCATGCCTGAGGAAGAAATCTTTAAAGGGGGCAGCTTTTGCACTTCTGCTTTTAGACTTTTGATAGCTTCAGTTTGTCGTGATGCCCACAAATGAGGGTTTTTTGACAACATTTTCTGTAGAGGTCTCGTCATTCTGGAAATGCGTGGAATGAAGTCTCCTACATAATTGATTACGCCAAGAAATTGTTGAATTTGTCGCCTTGTAAGATTTTCATCGGGAAAATCTAGAAGTTCTGTAGCTAGATGGGCTTGTGGTATGAAACTTCCTTCTTTGATATGAATACCAAGAAAATCAATGTTGGGCTGGGCTATTATCATCTTTTTGGCTGATAGCAAAATTCCGTTCTTCTTGACAATGTCTTGAAACTGTTGTAGCGCCTGAATATGCTCTTCTTCATTTTTTTGAGAATATGAGTATGTCGTTAATGTATATAAGAGCTGTGTGTAACAATGGCTCGAATATATGTAAGACATTCCATTGAAGATGTCTATTTGGAAGGCAAAATGCAGTCTTGTATCTTTCTTCAGGATGAACTCCGAGTTGCCAAAATCCTGATTTTAGATCAAATTTCGAAAATATATTTGCACCTTGGAGATGTTGAAGAAGCGCTCTTTTATTTGGTAGTGGAAACTTGACGTCTTGCAGATATTGGTTCAATGGCTTGTAGTCAATAACCAATCTGAGTTTTCCTCTTGCTTGTTCTGCACGATTATTAACGTAGAACGCTTTGCATGCCCATGGAGAATTTGTTCTTGAGATGATACCTTGATCCATCAATTGATTGCATTCTTCATTTGCCTTTTGCAACAATGTTGGAGGCATTCCGGCATGGCTTGCCTTTGTCGGTGCTGGATTTGTCCGATCGAGATTTCTTCGATTGTCTGTCCTTGATCTCTGATATACAGCTTCGTTTGTTGACCTAGGTAATCATCTATTGATCAGAGATATACTTGCTTCAGGCTTGGATTATTTAGACCATTGAGAGCATAATACCTTCGAGTTTAGAACCATCATCCTTGGAATAGAAATCACCGGAATTCAAAGACCCGGACAAACTCTACACAAAACAAAACCCAAGAAAGATTGAAAAATAAACGAAAATAAAAAAAAAGCTCATAGCTAGGACCTATGAAACAAAAGACAAGGCACAAGGAAAGGAGAATACATCTCCCTCGTAATCAGAATCCAGTAATAGGTCTTCCTCTTTCAAGCTTCTCACTTCATTTTTTGCACCTAGTTTCCTTTTCTTGCTCTTTGACTCTCTCATTTTACCCTCGTTTGCTACTTTGCCCTTCTTCATCGGTGCTATCAGGGGCCTAAGAACAAACTCGTTTGAAGATGCATGGGATGCGGAAGAAGAAAAGAAGTAGGGTTTAGGCTACAGTCGCAATGCTCCCTAACTCTTATGGGCATGTATAATGTAAATGGGCCATCTACATATACATTTTTGCAGGGCTTTTTTGCTTTAATTCATTTGGATCCGGGTTTTATCCGGTTTAAACCTATTCGGATCTAGAATAAGAGATTTAAGGAAATCATTAACAAAGAAAAGATATTATCTCTTTAATTACCTATTTAACTCTATTTCCTTAACTTATTCTAGCATTTATCGGCTCTATTCCAAAACAATCTCGAGATGATTTTCGAATATTTATACCATCTTAACTAACTTAAAAAATTAAATTAAAGATATTACAAAAATCGTTGCCAAAAATATCGTAAGAAAAGATATTGCGATGAACTAATCGTTGCCAAAAAGCTTGCCCAAATTCAATACGCTTTCTTTAAAAAATCTCAATTGTTGGATGTCATCCAAACTAATTACTCTCACATACCTTATCTGAGATATCTTCTTTCAAAATCAGCAAGAAATCGATTTTTTAGAAACAAATTTATGACTCAAAATACATAGTCACAGCATATTCCTAAATACAAAACTATCGCTGAGATTCACGCTTAGTAATACACATTTTAATTAATTTCACCTCATTCAAATTTAGTTATGGTATCGAATATTTTATGCTTTCCGATCAAGAGATTTTTTTACCTAACTTATCTTTCTAATGGTAAACTTCATTTTAGTTGTCATCAAAACGGAGATACACCTTGAGTTTTTATCTGCTGTGGAGATTCCTATAATATATATATATATATATATATATATATATATATATATATATATATATAATTGAAAATTTTGCACTACAGAGCACTTTTTGTAAACTCAATAACGCATAGACACACTTTGTGCTATGGACACACTTTTTATGTGTGTATTGACTAAAATAACCTTTAACTAGAACTTCCCTTCTAACTACAATATTATTCCTTTTATCTTTAATATTTCACATTAAAAAATAATGAGTGAGGAGGATTCATATTAGGATTTGGGATTGGGGTTGGTGAATCAATGATAACGAATCTGGTTATCTTCTTTCTCTTTCTTGCTTGGTATCTCTCCTTTGATTCATCTCTGATTTTCATATCTATTGCCTAATAGAAAATGAGTGAGGAGGATTCATATTAGGATTTGGGATTGGGGTTGGTGAATCAATGATAACGAATCTGGTTTCCAATTTATCACTCACCACCACGGCACCACCGCATCTCTGTGACCTCCGTCACCGCCTCTTAAACTCTAGATCGAGAACAATCGCTGTTCGACTGCGATAGTGTCGACGTCTTCGCTGGTACTCTCTCCGATTGGGCCGCTCTTCGCCGTCGGCTCTCTCCATAACCTTGTCGGCTATGGCTAGGTTGGGTAATCGTCACCGGACGAGCCCCCATTTTTCTCTATTGGCTGTGAGTTTCTTTTCCCTTTCTTTCTCTTTTTTTCCTCTATTCACCAGCTTCGAGATCCATCTGATTCTATCTTAGCAAAGTTGAAGACTTTCTAAAGTTTTTTTTTTTTAATAATGTCTGTTTCGAGAATCTCCCATAATTTGCTTTTTTTTTTCTTCTTCTTCATCTTCTAAGGTTGTTGTTTGGTTACTATGAAATAATAGTTGTCAAATCTACAAGAGATCTATATTTTTCTTGTTAAATTCATCTTTTGACTTGGAGACTGATTTCTCTCTCTGTTCTTAACGATCAAATAGATTAGATTGAATATTCAAACGAGTTGACTACACATAGAAATTGCACGATGATACAATTATTTGTCTAGTATCGTAAGAAAGTCCTCAACTTCCTTGTCAATTCTTTGTTAAGGTCTCACAATTTTGTAAGCAATGAGTTTGTTTTTAAATATTAGTTTCATAGTTTCATCTATTTGTTCAGAAGATCTTACAGTTTTACGCTCTTTTGTTTGCAGAGGCTTGTTTCATGAATGATGTGTTGCAAACAAGGTTCGTTCGTTTGTTCACAAATGTGTGGACATGTTTTAGTGGATATGTTGCTTAAGAAGAATTATGTTCAGATTCTTTCATCACTTTTCTTTCCTCGTTTTCTCTCAGTACTCCATCGACTCGTGACGATGTCCAACTCTTAATAAACCTCATATCATCATTCACCGATTTCAAATCTTGTCATCTTTTATTCTTGGAAGCTATATTTGATGCTTGTTCATATGGACTGATCTATGTGGACATGAAAATGAGAAAATTGGTCGTTCATATCAAATTCTATAGTTGGCACAAACTTCTAGGTGAAATGACCACGTGGTGGTCAGAGTTCGGTGGATGTGCGTGTATGGTTGTTAATTCGAAATGAAATGATTGTGTTGTAAATTTTGATGTAAAATTATAAGAGAATGTCATGTGTTCAAGATTATGTGGATAGTTTTTATTTTATCTTTTAAAAACATTTTTTGTGTCAATGACTTTCTACACTTATTTCAATCAATCGTCACTATTATTGTTGACTATTATGTATGACATATTAATAATGGATGCCACATTATGGATGGCGCATATTGGTTGTCGTATTATGCATTATGAATTTATGAATGATCATGTATAGAAAAAACATTATGGTTGTCGTATTATGCATTAGGAATTTATGAATGATCATGTATAAAAAAAACATTATGGAAGCCACTATTTCGATTGGGATGAAAATATATTTTTTCAGAGTAAAGAAGTAGATTAGACCTATATTGAAATGACCACGTGGTAAGAGTTCGGTGGATGTGCGTGTATGATCGGTAATTCAAAATAATTGTATTGTAATTTTTGATGTAAAATTATAAGAGACTGTCATGTGTTCAAGATATGTGGATAGTTTATATTTTATTCCTTAAAAATATTTTTTGCGTCAATGACTTCCCATACTTATCTCAATCAATCGCCACTATTATTGTTCACTATTATGTATGACATATTATGGATGCCACATTATGGATGGCGCATAATGGTTGTTGTATCTAGAGTTTAGGGTTTAGAGTTTAGGGTTAAGAGTATAGGGTTTAGGTATATGGTTAATGGTTAAGTGTTAACTCTCTATGGTTTAGGTTTTAGGGTTACGGGTTTTGAGTTTAGGGTTTAGGTTTTGGGGCTAGGATTTAATGTCTAGGGTTTAAGGTTTAGTATCTAGGGTTTAGAATTTAGGGTGTAGAGTATAGGGTATAGGTATATGGTTAAGGGTTAAGGGTTTAGTCTCTATGGTTTAGGGTTTAGGGTTTAGTGTTTAGGGTTTTGTGTATAGGGTTTAGTGTTTAGGTTTAGCGGCTAGGGTTTAATGTCTAAGGTTTAGGGTTTAGGGTTTAGAGGTTAGGGTTAAAGGTTAAGTCTCTATGGTTTAGGGTTTAGGGTTAAGTGTTTTAAGTTTAGGGTTTAGGTTCATGAGCTAGGGTTTTATGTCTAGGGTATAGCGTCGACAACCACG